TACTGTACATATTGCAATTTTCAAAACTCAGAAAAATGAAACACATCTGTTTGCCAAATTTCATTTCTTTGAGTACCAGTGGGGTTACTTCCTGCAGGTGATGGAGTTTGGTTATACAAAGAACAAGTTGGACATTCCTTGGCTTATTGCCAAGGCATAAAAAACATGTCCTTCAAGATTTTTCTATTAACATTGTGTTTTTTAAAATAAAATTCTGAGACTTCTAGCATATTTCCTATGAATAGCTGATCAATATCATCACTATTTTGTGCTGGATTGCCTGGTAGACCCAGATGGGATCTGTTAGGTCTTATATACAATGGATTATTTCTATTTCTGATTACTTGTGTTAGTTGAATAAATAACAAAGTTAATTTTGAATCACCTGGGACAAGTTCAGTGGTTTCAACATGCAAAACAACTTTCCATGAGGTCCCTAAGAGAAACATACATATTTCTACCTAGAAGGGGAAACAGACAAGACATCCTGAGTAATTGGGAGTGCAGGAGGGGAGAGGGTAGGTGAGGAGAGGGGAAGAGGGAAGGGAAGCAGAGAGGAGAACATGAGGGAATAGGGATGTCAAGCTGGGGTAAGAACAGAGATGGAGAGTAAGGAAAGAAATCTCCTGATAGAGGGAACCATTTGGGATTATCAAGAAACCAGGCACTAGGGAAATCCCCAAGAATACACAAGGATGACGCCAGGTAAAACTGTAAGCAATAATGGAGAGAGAACTGAACTAGCTTTCCCCTGTAATCAGACTGAAGACAACTCTTATTATCAAATCCTCATACAGTAACTGATGGAAGCAGAGTCAGAGATCCACCACTTCACTTGGTCAAGCTCCTGGATTCAGTCAAAGAGAGGGAAGAGTGAAAATCTGAGCAAGGGGGTCAAGACCATAATGGGGAAGCCCATAGAAAGAGCTTACTGACAGTCTGCTCTCTGAGGAGCAGATCTGGATGGGGAAGCTTGGGTGGGTGAGGAGAGGGAGGGAAAACTAAAATAATTAAAAACAACTTTCTGCATAGTCACTTTATATTTCTTGATTTCCACCTGTCTTTTCCGATTATTTGCTTCACTATAACATGTAGGGGCTCCAGAATTGGTGTCCCTTAATCATGTGCTAGAGGCTCCAATTATTTCTTTTTTTATGCACATTTTTAAATTTTATTTTTTGAGATTATAATATAATTACATCATTTTTCCCTTCCCTTTCCTCTCTCCCATATGCATATGCTTCTAAACATAACTTGCTCAGTCTGTACTCGAATGTGTGTTTTCAGGGTGGACCACTCCTTATTGGTAACTAACTGGTGTTCTTCCCTAAGGAGGACTGCTTCTCCTGCTTTCAGAATTCTTGGGTTGCCTGCAGTCCTTTCTGTGGCTTGAGGCCTTGTGTTGTGTCCATCCCTGTTCCGCGCACACACACATCGGCATGTCTATCGTTATCTTTGTTCGTGCTGTTTGTTTTAAAGCAATGAAGAATGGCTAGAGGAACAGCAAGACAGTTCGGTGAGTAAAGGTGCTTGCTGCCAAGCTCGACAGCCTGAACTTAATCCCCAAGGAAAGGGACTCCAAAAAGTTGTCCTCCAACCTCCACATATGCAGTGTACACACACAAATAAATACATGTGATTTTAAAGGAAAAATTCTTCAAGAAAGGAAATTACTGCCCAGGTAGTATGCTTCATAAGGCCAGCCTGGTCTACAGAGGAAGTTTAAGGATAGCCAAGGCTACACAGAGAAACCTTGTCTTGAGGGGGGATAAGAAAATGAAATTACTAAAAAGCTACTTAACAACACATCTTCAGTACTTAACAACGCATCTTCAGTGGCCAAATTACAAAGATGATGGCTGCTTTCCTCTTTATGCAGGAACAATAATAAGCTCGTGTGTTACCCACTATGAAAAGCAGCATACACAGTCTCCTTTAGCTGACAGGTCGCTTGGACAGTCCCTCTGTCTTGATGACACTGCAAAGCTCCCCAGTGTAAGTGGCCCTGAACCTCCCGGTGGTCAGCATCCCCAGCTAGATGCTGTCCCTATCTCAGTTGGTGTAGGCTTCAGCACTAGCCCTCTAGCTGGTGAGTGCAGAGCAGCTTGGAAGCCTTCCTTGATGCTGTAAGCCCTGGGCTGCTGACCTTACACAGCACGTGGAATTTACTGGACTTGTCTGTTCTGTGGTGCTCAGGGTGGAACTTAGGACCTCATACATGCTGGGCAAGAGCTCTACACAAAGCTACACTCCCATCCTCAGTCATTATTGGTTATTTCCATATTCATCCCCATGGGAGAGAGAAAGGCTCTTCTATCTCAGAGTGCAATTCAAGGCTCAGAGACTCAATACCCTGCCCTAGACCAAGGAGCTGAGGTTCAGCAGAACCCGAGTATCCAGATTCCACAGTCTGTGTTGCTCTGCCAACCCCCCTGGTTTCATAGCAGGGGGTTGCCTCTGTGACCTTGGCATAGCCTTCCTCCAAGATGTACCTCTTCATAGACATTTCTGGTCACTGTCCGTTGGAATGCCCTGTTCAGTACAATGTTCCAGTAAGGGCTTTTTCCTAAAGTTGGTTAATAACTTCTCCACCTGCCTCCATCTACATGGCTGAGTACAGGCACACACAACCACGCCTGGTTATATGCATTTCTAGGGACTGAACCCAGGGTTTCACTTCCTGCATGCTAGACAAGCAGTCTACCAACTGAGCTTCAGCCCCAGCCCCCGGTTAGCAGCTTCTGCCTCATCAATGTTCTTGGCCTTCCTGCCTGAAATCCAAGCGTAGCCAGGGCTACCCAGGGGCCTTGTCGTTACTCTTTACTTGAGTGTGGTTGGGGTTCCAAACACTTGTGAGAAGCGTTCTCTGTCCAGGATTCGGCCATAGCGCAGGGTGACATAGAAGGTCTGCTTGCCACTGTATTGCTTGATTCGCACCAACAGATCCCGGGCATGTTCCTTGGATTCTGACAGGGGTATTATATCTGACACGTCACAGAACGTATCTTGTCGCCACCCCCAGAAGGACAGGTGGGCCACTTGAAGCACGGTACCTGACTCATTCACATACATGAAGCCCACCAGCCTCCGGAAGAAGTAGCTCATCCAACACAGCATGGCCAGGGTGAAGCAAGAGATCCCACTCATGAGGTAGAGTGCCTTGAGACTCATGAGGCCCTGTGAGTACCAGTACAAGCCTGGGGGTAGGGCTGCCACCGTCACAGCTGTCTGTGCCAACTTCAGTCGAGACAGAAACCCAAATCTTCTGACGGCTCTGAAGCGGTAGATTGTGTAGAATTTCTCAGTCTCTGTGCCTGGTGGCTTCTCCTGCGAGGTGGGAGACTTGCCAGACGCCCACCTTTTGGAATCCCCCTGCCCAGTGCAGCACCACAGCCGGTGAAGAGGCCTCCCCCATGCCGCTGGCCCCTGAAATCTTGGCACGGCTCGAAGGAAGGCAGACATGATCACGTCTCCTGCAATGAAATGTAAACCGACGGGTCCCCGGAAAATTGAAGAACGCATGCGCGGGGGGGAGGGTTTTTAAAAAACCCGCATGCACAAACCAAAAAACAAAAGTGTTACATCTTGGGGATTGTAGTTTAAATCTTGACTCCGCTGTAAGTGTTCTGTGAGTCCAATTATTTCTTTTTATAAACTCAATTTGTGGATATTTATTGCTAATCTCTCCCCAAAATTACTGAAAGCTCTTTGTCAGTGTTCATTTTCTGCCCACAATGAAGCAATTTCAACATTAGTAAAAGGTACCACGATTTCTGCTGGGTCTATTTCTGTTAATTGGTGACGTCTCAACTTTCCTTTCAGAATCAATTCAAAAAATGTGCTGCGTGGTTTTATGGCCAACCTGACATAAGCTAGAATCATCAGAGGAAGGAGCCTCAGCTGAGAAAACATCTAGTTTTTGATCCAGGTTTAAGGCAGTTTCTTATTTAGTGATCAATGTGGGGAGGGCCCAGTCTGTGGTGGGTGGCGCCATCCCACGGTTTTTGGTCCTGGGTTTTATAAGATGGTCTGAGAAAACCAGAGGAAGCAAGCCAGTAATCAGCTCCCCTCCATGGCCTCTGCATTAGCTCCTGCTTCTGGGATCCTGCCCTGTCTGACTGAGTTCCTGTCCTGACTTCTTCAGTGATGAATAGCAATGCTGAATGTAAGCCTAATAAATTTTTCCTCCCCAACTTGCTGTTTAGTTATGATGTTTCATTGCAGCAATAGCAACCCTAAGAGAAATCTTTTCTACATAGGTTCTTAATTTTTTAGTGTGCTGTAAAGAATATACATTCTAAGATATTATCTTCTCTCTGAATAAGAATTCCTATAGGAGAAAAAGTAGAAGGTATGACCAGTATATACTCAAGTTCTAGGACCAAGCAATCCACAGGTTCATCCTATAATTTCTCTTCCACCAGAGCCAATTCTCTTTCAGCCTCAGCTGAGAATTTTCTTGGGCTATTTAAGTCTTTATCACTTTGCAAGGTTTGAAATAAATTACTTCTTGAGTTATTTATAAAATTGTGGACTGTGGCTAGTTGATATTTTCTAGAAGTTTTTGAAAGTTAGTAAGAATTCAAAATTGATCTCTCTCAAATTGTGCTTTCTGTGGTTGAAAATTATGTATTCCTGTCTTATATCCCATGTAATTAACAGAGTCTCCTCTTTTTATTTTCTCAGGAGCATTTTGGAGTATCCAACAAGGCAAAATTTCTTTTCCTCCCCAAACAGTTTTTCTAAGGTATCCAAATATGAACCAGTTAGTAATGTGTCATCCATGTAATGGTAAATTATAGATTCAGAAAACCGTTTGAGTTATTTCCAATGGCTGCTGTACAAAATATTGACACAAGGTGGGACTGTTTAACATCATTTGAGGAAGAATTTTCCAATGCTACTTCTTAACAGTCTGGGAATTATAAGTAGAAACTGTGAAGGCAAATTGTTCTCTATTTTGTTCTTGTAAAAGTGTAGTACAAAAGCAGTTTTTTAATCAACTACTATAATAGAGTAACTATCCTTTATATAATAAAGAAGGAAAGGAAATTCCAGGCTTTAAAGAGCCTATTGGCTGAATGAATCACCTTATTTTTGGCTCTTAAATCTGTGACCATTCTCCAGTTTCCATATTTCTTTTTAATGGCAAATGTAGGAGAATCCCAAGGACTGGTCTATTCTTCAACATGTTGAGCATCTGGCTGCCCTGTACCAGCTGTTCTAGAGTGTGTAATTTTCTGATGTCAAATGCCAATGTTCCACCCACACAGGCTTCTCAGTTTACCATTTTCAAGGCAGGGGTGTTGGTATCCTTGAAATTCCCCCATGCTTATGTACAATCTGAATTGTCTGGGACTGTACTTGATAATACCTTTTTAATATATCCCTCAGAAGCATTCTTTATTTTATTGTCTGTTTCTGAGATTGGAAGAATGTCAATCTGTGTTTTCCATTGCTTTAAACAAATCACAGTCCCATAAATTCATTGCTATGGTAGCTTTAATTTTCCTATTCGTCTTTGTGACTCTATGCACTTGACCCATGTTGCACTTTGTTTTACCTGAGGGAATGTTTAATCCAAAGAAGCTGATCCTTTACCTCCTGAAGAGGCTGATCTACATGCCAAGATTTTGGTGTAATTATTGTTACTTCTGTACTCGTGTCTACCAATTCATCAATTTTAATGTCATTTATATGTATTTTTGGCTTCGTTCTCTGATCATTTATAGCAGTTTTTCAAAAATAATTTGTGGTCTCTCCTGAACTTTTTGTTCTTTCTTTGGTCACATTCAGAGAAGTGTGGTTTTTAACAACAGGTATTACGTATTTTGATTGCTGTTTCTCCAATTCTGCCAGGCAATGATTGTGCAAAATTTGATATTGGGGTCTTCAGGAGGGCTCTCAGGGGATTTCCTGAAGGCAAAGTATTACCTTGCCTGTCTCTTGCTGATCTGCATTCATTAGTCTGATGCCAGCATTTGCCACACTGTCTGCATACTCTAGAAGGCTGGGGCATTCTGTTTGAAATATTTCTTTCTTTTTTTTTTTTTTTGGTTTTTTTGAGACAGGGTTTCTCTGTGGCATTGGAGGCTGTCCTGGAACTCACTTTGTAGACCAGGCTGGCCTCGAACTCACAGAGATCCGCCTGCCTCTGCCTCCCGAGTGCTGGGGCGTGCGCCACCAACGCCCGGCTGTTTGAAATATTTCTAGAAAAAACATTGTTTCTAGGAATGCCCTGCCTACAATTCCTTTTCAGACGACCATGTTTACCACAATTAAAACATCTGACATTTTGGCTTTTCTTAAAATTTCTATAATTTACTTATCTTAATCAAAGTAGCATCATAAGCATGAGATTCAATGATAACCATATTTCTAGTTCATTCATTTATTGGTTCCAATCTTTCTTTTAAAGTCTAATCACACTTTTCCATTCTGAATTAGCATTTTCAAAATCTAAACATTCAATTAATATTCATCTACATTCTGGATATGTTATCATTCTATTTATAGCTGAAGTCAATCTTTATAAAAACTCAGTGAACACTTCTCTTGGGCCTTGTGTAATTTTAATAAATGGCTCAGTTCTCTTTCCTGATTTTTAACCCTGTCCCAAGCATTCAAAGCTGCTATATGACAGAGCACCAATGTGTGATCAACAAATCCAGACTGTATTTGAAAATCAGCATGCTGTCATTCACTGAGAAGCTGGTGTTGGTAAATTTCAGTATCTCTAGCTGTACTTCATCGTTCTGTGACCCTAGTTTCCTCTTCCACCATGTTTTCCACTATAACTGATGGCCAGCTTTAAATAAATCTTACAGTCTTGTGGAATAATTCTGTTGTGAATTGTGCATGAATTTAATATCTATATCACACTAGGTGAATGCATAACATGAAATTACTGCTTCTTTAAATCTCTTCAAATCTAAAACTTCTACAAAGTTTCAGTCAACTTCTCCATAGCCTTGGGAATGATGCTTATCTCCTGGTGGTTGTTCTTGTATTATAACTAGATAAACTAAATTCTGTTTTCTAGTAAACTTCAGTGTCACCTCTTCAGTTTCATAATGTTTCAGTTTCAGAATTTAGTGTCTCCCCTAAATTCTTCTGTTTGTGTCTGAATATTTTTCTTATTTTCATTATACTTTCTAATGATTGTATCTTATCAATAAAACTTTTTTATTTTCAGTTGCAACTTTTTCTAAGGCTTGCATCTCATCAGTTTAGTTTTCATTTGTAAGTCTTTCTAATGTTTGGATCATAATAGACAAATTTTTATTATTTTCAGCAGTAAGTCTTTCTAAGACTTGTATTTTATCAGTAATAATTATTTCTGAAGTTTTACCTCATAAACAGTAACTCTAAGGTTTGTATCTCATCAGTAAAATTTTCATTAGCAAGTCCTTCTAAATGCCTGTATCTTATCAGTGA